CTCCCAGGTAGGAAGGGAAGGTAGCCTTCTGTTTCTTATTATTATGTAGTGATGAGAATATTGAGTCCCGGAGATGTAAGGGTCAAGCCAAGGCCCATTGACCAGCTTGCAGGCTAGAGTAGACATGAAGCTCCCTCCCCTGCCTGCCCCATTGCACTGAGGGGCCACTAGTTATGGGGATCTCTGAGGAAGGCCTTGATACTGAGTGACTTACTTTGGAGTTGGTGCTTTGAAGCCTCCTGGCTTAGAAACTGTTAGGGTTTCTCTAATTTTCCAGAATCTTCTCTCTCTCTCTCTCTCTCTCTCTCTCTCTCTCTCTCTCTCTCTCTCTCCATCTCCCTCTCTCTGTTTCTCTACCCTCTCTCTCTTTGGTGTTTTTGAGACAGGATTTCTCTATGTAACAATCCTGGCTGTTCTGAACTCGATTTGTAAACCAGGCTGGCCTTGAACTCACTGAGATCTGCCTGCTTTTGCCTTCCAAGCACTGGGATTAAAGGTGTGCACCACCACCACCCGGCTCAGAATCTCCTCTCTTTATGCCACTGCAGAATAGATTTCTGAGCACTGAAGTTTCCAGTGACTACACCCTCCTCACCCCACCCAAGGAGAACCTCACCCCACCCAAGGAGAACACACTTTTATTTTCTTACTTTCAAAGAATGAGATGAGACCCCATCTAAAGTTCCATTCTTAGAATCACCAACTTGAAGACAAGTTAGCCATAAAGATCAAACAGTGAAGTAGCATTTGTCAGTCATCTTCAATGTCCTAAGGGGAAAAAACTTCTCAACAGCATGATTTCCTGTTTTGTTTTCTTCTCTCCTCTTTTTCTTCCTCTCCACTCATATCAATAAAGCCTACACTGTGCTCCTCTTCCTGGCCATGTGCTGTGTGAGGCAGCCAGCATGTAAACTCAATGGAGTCAAAATAAGTCCTAGACTTGGGGGCTTTGGGCAGTCTGCTAATCTGTTTGAAGGAGGCTGAGGGTTTTAAAACATAGTTCTCAGCCTTGGCCACTCCTCAGGAGCACCTGGGCAGCGTGGGATGTGCAGTGCAGAGGACAGTGCAGTTATGTAGGGACTCGTGTTCAGAAAGGTGTCCACTTCAGATTTATGCATTTCTGCCCCTATCTTGAAATCCTTCATAATTTTTGAGCAGAGTCCTATAATTTTATCTTATGCCAGGTACTGGAATTATATAGCCAACCCTGTAGGCAGCTTTTAAATATATAAATTCCCTGATGAACCCAAGTCTTTGAACTCTAATTGCAGGGACAGCTAACATAGAATGACTGGGATGTGTCATTGGTTGGTATGTGTATGGTTGGGGGCACATCAGGTTTAACTAGTGCATTTTCCCAAACCACACACAGACTGATAAATGTTCTGATTCTGCCTAACTCCCAGTCAAGAGTGTTGGATGAATGGCATCCACTTATGGAATTATTCTGAGATGGATGATAGCACATGCCTGTAATACTATCATGCAAGAGGTCAAGGCTGGAGGATTGCTGCCAGTTTATAGATGATCTGGAATACAGACCATGTCTCAGAAAGGAAGACAGTGAGGGGAGAGAGGAAGGAAGGAAGACAAGGAAGAAACTCTGCTTCCATCCTCTTGCCTGGAGACAGACTTGCTAGGGTAGTCACAGCATAGGACAGAAGTGCTTGAAACTGTAAGCTAGGCAGGATGTAACTGAACTGTAACTTTTTTATCCAGTGGCAAATGGTAAGAAATGAAGTGGGTGTGGCCAGAGTCCTGACTTGACTTTCAGCTGTCTGGTTTGGGAACAGGCTTCTGGTGTCTCCTTGCTAATTTGCTTTTTACTAAATGAACATTTTATTTGCAGGAATGTCATGGTGATTGGACAGAATGAAGTATGCCATAGCAGCTGGCCAATAGATAGATATTTGTGGGCTATCTCCACCCAGTAGAAATAGTAATAGGCCACTCTCCCTAAACTCTCAGGTATATCTTTCTCCTAAAGGAAACTAGAACTCATTATGGCAACAAAAAGAAATATAATATTATTCAATTAGCTTATTCATAGTTACTAAACATTAGGTTATCAGAAGGATGAATTCTACTATATATGCATGTTATATATGTATGCAAATATATGTAGACACATACACATATACACATATAGAAACACATATATGTGACAGGTCCCTGTTTAGTATTTGACTTAAATTTTTTGCATTTTAACTACTCAAATTATGCTTATTATAGCAAGTCAACATAAAATTAACTAAACGAAGTTTACTAATCTCTACTCCCATGTCCTATCTCCATCCTGTTCAGATAACCATTTTTTAAAGTAATTTGATGTTAAAAATACATTTGATGTATACTTTTCATAATTATCCTTTTATATATTGGCATGCTTCCCACATGGCACACACCACAAATGATGTTCTGTAGCTTGCTTTCCTTCTCCCCTTCACTTAATATAATGTGAACATCTTTCAAGTCAATGTACATCACTCATCTTTGACTTTCAATGTTTGTAGGCATTCCCTGAGATGGGTATAGTGTTTTCCAACCATTCCTTGACATAGGCGTCCAGTATTCATCTACTGCTATGCAGGCGTTCTTATGTGTGGGTAGATGTGGGTGGGCACACATGTGCATGTGTTGGTATGTATGCATGTACCTGTGTGTATGTTCACCTATGTGTGTGGATGTGGAGATCAGAGGTTGATGCTAGGTATCATTCTTGGTTGCCGTCCCTTACATTTTGCAGCAGGGCCTCTGTGATCCTGGACCTCACCAGTTCAACAAGTCTAGTTTGTAGTTGGCTTCTATCTGCCCTGCCCATCAGTTCTCAAAGCTGCTTATGAAATAACACTCTGAGGCTTAATATTAAATATAATTGTTTGACCATTGGCTCAGACACATTACTGGCTAGCTCTCTCTTATAAATTAACCCATTTCTGTTAATCTGTGGATTGCCACCAGGCTGTGGCTTACTGGTAATGCTGTGGCATGTTATTCTTTCGGTGGCAACATGGCTACTCCCTGACTGTGCCTACTTTTTCTCTGTATGTTTATTTGGATTTTCTGCCTAGCTATATTCTCCATGGCCATTGGCCAAGTTGGCTTTATTTATCGACCAATAAAAGCAGCACATATTCACAGCATCCAGAAGGACCTCTCACATGACTGGTTGGCCAGTGAGCTCTAGGGAATCCTCCTGTCACCAATTCCTCAGCATTCCAACAGGCATGTGCCACCATGGCAGGCTTTTTTTTTTTTTAATCTAAGTGCTGGTCATCTGAGCTCAGATCCTTCTCTTGAGCCACAGATACTTTCCCAACTGAGCTGTCCTGTTGGCCACTGTAAGCATTCCTTTACAGACAATGTAAAACACTAATACCTAGGCTTCTTCTAGATGAAGCAGTGATAAAAATCCCAATAGTTTATGGTCGGAATGTGGGCAAGGCCAAGGCCAAACAAATAGCAATACATACAACACACTGACTTTTATTGACATGCCAGTCACGAATCAGGTACTTCAGCGGGTGTGCAAGCTCTAAATGTGAGAGAGTTTCAGTTAGACCTCAAGCAATTCACCAAAGCAGCGTATGATTCAATGTCAAAGCCAAATGCTACAAATGATAGTTATCTGAGTATTAGGTCTGGGAGGAAATCCTCCTAATAGTACTTAAGCCAGCTTCTCCTCCAGCCCCACATTTTTGTCATGTTCCATAGAATTCAGGGCCGTTTTGCATAAAAGTCCTTTTGCATAGCTTTCCTCAGTGTTTCCTGTCACAGAAAGCAAAAGGAGCTCCAGACTAAAGCCCAGAAACATGTTAACATGTCTTTTCCGTGTGGCCACTAGTTTATCCGATTGCTCCCAGTTTGCTCTATCATTTTCTTCAAGAAGCTCAAAGTAAAAAAGAAAGTTTGCCCAACAGAAGCCCCCATTTCTCCTGACAGACCTTTGACATGCATTTCAGTGAAGCCCTTGCAAGGAGACACTTAACTGTTTTCCAGGAAAGAAGTAGAAGTCACAAAACCAAGTAAAATCACCAAATAACTTTTGAAAGCACATTAAGCAGGATTCAACAGACTTTTTTTTTTTTTAGACGGCTATGAAGTGGTGTCATCAAAATTGTTTTTCCTCTAGCCATTTTACTGCAAAAAAAAAAAAAAGTTGAAATCCTATGGTGCTCTCCTGAAGGTGTTCAGCCTGTGCCTACTTGGAGAAATAGCTTACTGTTCAGCTCCCAGACTTCAAGCTGCTGCACTCCCTTGGTCTGCCCCGCTTTCCTGAGGACACCTAGCTCCTCCAGGTGGCCCCAGCCAGTGGCTGAGCCTGGTGGGGATATTAGGGGTGGCTATTTTGGGCACAGGAACTCATTATTGCCTGTTTTGCTGGCTGAGACTGTCAGGTCTGCTTGGGACCTTTTTTGTTATGCTCTGGGGCTGTCCGTGCCCAATCCTGCTTCCTTTCCTTTCATCTTTCACAGATCATCCCGCTCATTTCCGAACTTTTCAGGGCCTGCTTTCCAGAGGACACAATAGCCACCCATGTGTTCAGTGTGTTTAATGTAGTACCCACACAGCCTCTATCCCCCCAACATTTTGTGCACCTGGCTCTGCTAAAAAGGAACCTCGATCCTGCCAAAGCAAAAGTGACCATTTTTCTTCAATTATTCAGCTGGGACACACACACACACACACACACACACACACACACACACACACACACTATTAAGTGTGGGACAAAACCCAAACCTTGATATGTTGTAAAATTCTACTCAAAGCATTTCTAAGAACTGATGTGTAAGGGATGTACTTTGGTATTCCTTCCGTGTTTCCTATGAACTGATTACAGCCTAGACATCACTGTTGCATAGAAAGAATCCAATCTCCATGTCTTCACTCTAATCACAATCCTACCTTGAGCACCATTGTTCTTGATAAGATGCCTCCCCTTGTGGTTCCACAGATTGAGAAGGATGAGGATCCTAATTGCATGCTTGCTGTTTCAGGGGAGTTTGGTGAGGTGTACAAGGGCCGTTTGAAACTGCCAGGCAAGAGGGAAATCTATGTGGCCATCAAGACCCTGAAGGCTGGGTACTCAGAGAAACAGCGTCGGGATTTTCTGAGCGAGGCAAGCATCATGGGCCAGTTTGACCATCCCAACATCATTCGCCTGGAGGGTGTTGTCACCAAGAGTCGACCTGTCATGATCATTACGGAGTTCATGGAGAATGGTGCTTTGGATTCTTTTCTCAGGGTAAGAGCCACTGTGGAACCTGTGTGGTGTTAATACTGTCTCATGCAGAGCAAAGGTCCTGGGGAGAAGTGTCCTGTGAGGATGATCTACCTTCAGGACTAGCTGGTCACGTGTGGGCAGGTTTTAACCTTGGCAAGTTAGCAGAGATGTGTCGTTGAAAGGTAAGAATGACCTTGTACTGGGTAACCAATAGGGGTCTCACACCTGGGAGAGGCTAATGCTCCCTCTCTGAGCAGCAGTCATTAGTTGTCTATAGTTCTTGGTGTAGGGGTGGCACACTCCTACCATGAGATTTTCTCTCCTCCTCATTAGCATGTCCCTATATTATTGTTGTTTGGGTCTTGTTTCATGCAGTCATATTTCTAAAGGGCAGACTTGCTGGTATTCTGGTTCACACGATCTCTCTGTCCATAAGTTCTTCCATGATGTTCCCTGAGCCATAGAAGCAGGAGCTAGAATTAGAAAAGGGAATGGGGGGGGGGAGTGAACTGATTATATTCCAATTAAAGTGTATTTTAAAATATATTTTTCAAAAAGAGAGAGAAGAACAAAGCAGAGTCTGAGGTCTTCTCAGAGGGAGGTTGATTAGGGGAAGGGCCTCAATAAATGTTTATAGGTTGAGTAAGATGGTAGAAGTAAAGAATGGTCACTGATCTCTTTATGGATTACTGAGACTGAAGAGACTCTGGGTGGCTTCTTGGCCAAGTGTGGCTCATGCAGATGCCAATGGCTGCTGTTGCCTTTCCCAGCATAGCCAACCTCCCAGCCAGCTCTATTCAGTTGACTGGTCAGAAAGAAAACAAGTTGCCATCTACTTGAAAAATCCCTCAGCCTCCTGCCATCCAAAGAGGCATCTGAACGGGTGCCACAGGCACCCAGAAATCTTTCCTGGCATGTATACAGAACTGTGGGACTCCAGTCCATCCTGCAGCAGAAGTGGAGGTACCTGGATGCATTCCGGTTGAGAGATCTATGAAGGATCTGTGTCAGTACGTGTGCTTTTCCAGGGGCGACCATTTATGATCAGAGATCTTGTGGAGACAGTGAAATGAACATGAATAGAAAAGCAAGAATTTTCTGCACCAGCCTCAAGACCCTCTCCAGAGTCATGTGTGTCCTTGGTGTCACTTGATTCTACTTTAGAGAAAATCACCACCACATGGTTGAAAGACTCAGTGTCCCTCCCAAGGTCACTCATAGGACAGAAAAGAGTCTTTCTCGGGAGCCTATGAGAATGAAAGCAGACCTTCTTACTCCCCCCAGACAGAGAATTTTCCACCTGGGGCCCAGGACACAATGACTTGTTGGGTACTGGGGATTTTCATGATAATGAAGCCATGGGAGGAAACCTAGGGGCAAAGGAGAGGAGCACAGATAAACAGAGGTGAGGGCACAACCAGGAAGGGGTGGCAAGAGCAGGCAGTGCCAAGAGCATCAGGGAAATGAAGCGTTTCTGACTGTTCGCACCTCGTGGAGGCAGGTAATCTATAAATCTAATTTCAGCCTCACTACTGAACCCTGGAGCATGGCAACATTAATTGATGTATCTGCTACTTGATAAAATTGAAAAAATAGGTCATCAGTTCAGTTCTACAGGGTCCATCTTCTGGGAAGGAGGATAATTTTAGGACCACCATTCAAAGAAGGGAGAAAAATGTTTAGTCCTTAAATCGTATAGCTGTTTCCTTTCCCCCAGCCCTGGACTTAGTAGGTTTGAGAGGGCTCCCATGCTGGCTTTGGGTCAGAGCCTCAGAGATCCACACCTCATCCTTACCCATTCTCCATCACTGTCTTTGCAGAACTTGGAATTCCATCTTCTAGAAGGATTAGGAACACCCAAGAGGTGGCTCCCATTGCTAATTGTTTTAAATAGAAGAGTTCCTTCTTGGTACCCATATCTAATGGCACCCACCTGGTGGCCCTTCCCTAATCTTCAGAATCATTCCCGAAGCTCAGATCCACGTCAGATTAAAAGCTCCTTATGGTCACTGTTGGTTCATTCATAGATGGTCATATCTGTAAGACTCTTGGTATTCACCAAGTGGTATCAAATGGGATATTTTTCCTTAGGAAAGCTCATTCATGGACTGAAGCCAGAAGGAAGCAACTAGGGAGAGAATATCAGATTGGAAGCCATGAAACTGAGGCCCCTGCCTTGGCTTTTGCTATGAGTCACCCTATGGCCTGGAGAGAGTCCGTTAACTCAATTTTCCAATCTATAAACTAAAGGCATTGAGCTGGATGAGCTGGAAAGTTCTCTTTTAGTTAAAAAAAGAATCTATGATTCATTCTCTTCAAACAAATCAAATAAGGGTTTCATTTCCTGAAGTGGATTTGTCAATGAAAGTGGAAATACCTAAATCCTCCCTGTCTGATATGAGGACCGCCAAGTGGCTCCATGCATTTGCAGGAAAGCAATTTCAGTAGAAAGCACTTCAGTCTGAGAAGAAAGTTTAAACCACTCCACCCAGGCCTGCATCTCCTCACTGAATCATGTTTGTTCCCATGGGCTCAGCATGGAGCCCCTTGCTTTCCAAAGTCACCCAGAAACCAGGTGGTGGTTGTTCTGCTTCGATTATTTCCTATGCTGGTGTCCTTACCTCCGCAATTACAAAGCCTGGGGCCAACCATGCTATGTAATTTAAGGGATAATACTTGTCTCTCAAAACAATTTCCCAGCGTCTACAAGATGGCTCCGTGGGTAAAGGAGCTTGCCACCAGCTTAACCACCAGAGTTCAAGCCCCACAGTGGAGAGAACCAAGTTGTCCTTTGACCTCTACACAGGCACCGTTCCAATAAATCAAGCAAAAAGCCATTGAACACATCAGGGGAAACACAGTATGTTTATATTCTTAGGTTTCACCAAGATAGTAAATTCAATGGTCAGGACCATTTCTGTAGAGACATGTTTACCCCACAGTGCCTAAGGAAAACATGTTGCCTATTGCAGACTCAGCATATACCAGGGGATGAGGCACAGGACAGGAGCTCAAAGACCAGATAACAGCAGCATCAGTAGTCGTAGGTAGCTTTTCTCCCCATGAAGTTTCTGCAGCCTTTTCTTCATACACCACGGAAGGCAGCCATTACCAGAGGATCAGAGATGGAATGTCAGCACAGAAGTAATCTGCCACTCTGGATTTAGGCTTGTGTTATAACTCAAACCCACACTGAGTGATTTAAGTCTGATCACGTAGGTCCTCTGGACTTCCTTTATTTTCTCCATGAAAACAACACAATATCACCTGCTGTTTCTTCTGCCCAGGGCCAGTTTGAAGGCTCTGATCATATTCTGAGAAGTCTGATTTTCCATTTCTAAGTCAAGTAATGGAAGAAACTGATATTTTCAAATTGATCCAGATTTCAAGCATGTATCATTAAGTCTCCATCATTCACTATTACCATTGGTTATGCATCAGGGAACTGTTACCAGTATTGACCCTTTGTATGTCGAGTTCAGAATGCCCATCAGACTGGGCTTCCCAAGAGCAATGACTCTAGAGTCTCTCACACAACCAGGAAAACATGAGGAACCCTGGACCCTGGTCTCCCTCAATGGGAATACTTGAGGTCCATGGAGGAGGTGATTGGGAGGAAAGGATGGCCTGGCTCCTGGGTGCTGTGACCACTGCTATCATCAGAGTGTCACAGGGTCCCAAATGGAAGTTTCTGAGCCGTGATCTCATTTAACCCCCAACAGAGTCCAGGAAGAGAGGGCACTATGCTCTTAAGTTTCAGGTGTGGAGGTCACCACTCTGGAGGCAAAATCCCTTGCTAAGGCCAGTGAATGTTAGAGCCAGGGTCCAAACTGTATCTATCTAGACACCCAATTTTAAGCACTTCTGGCCCCTGTTCACCCTGGAAACTGTAGTGATGTCTGGTCTAAATTTTAAACACAAGGTAAACCCAGAAAGACTGCACTGAATTAGAGCGGAAGACACCTCGCCATATATGCTTGTCAGCTGCCTTCTCATTGTGTGTGAGCGCCACTGTCCCTCTCCAGGTGAAATCTTTAGTGAGACACCAATTTGTCACTAGAATGTCACCTACACTTAAGAAGAAGAAATGAAAAATGGAATTAAAAAAATCCAGCTCATGTGACTTGAAGCTGGGAAGCATTTTTATAATCTTCAGAAGTTGCATGGGGAATTTCTGAGGAAGCAAATCTCCCAGAGATCTGCTTTGGGGAAGTGTGTGGTGCTCCTGAAAGGGCAGCTGGCTTCTGGAGAAGGTACTGACGGAAGTTCACTCAGGAGGAGGTTTTGAACCATCCCTGGTACATTCATTCTTCATGGATGGGCAAATCAGTCAGTCTTTCCACAAAGCTGCACTCTTTAGGTCCTTAGAAGAAAATGTCACAGAAAAAGCATTCTGAGCAGGTTGGAAGGTGGTTAGGAGTTGAATCAGGAGCAGCCTGGCCCATGAGGTGTGTCCTAGTTTACTTTTCTGTTGCTATGCTAAAACACTGACCAAAAGCAACTTGGGGAGAGAGGATTTGCATCGACTAAAAAGTCATGGTCCTTCATAGTGGGAATCCAGGCAGGAATTCAAGCAGGAACAGAAGCAGGGACCATGGAGAAAAACTGCTTGCTGCCTTGCTCCCCATGGCTTGCTCAGCCTTCTTTCTATACTACCCAGAACCATCTGTCCAGTGGTGACACAGGTCATAGTGGGACGGATCCTCCCACATTAATCATTAATCAAGAAAATGTTTGCCCACAGTCATGCCCACAGGTCAACCTGATGGAAGCAAGTCCCTCAGATTTCCAGGTTTGTATCAAGTTGATAAAACCAACCAGTACACCTTCCCCATGGAATCATTGATTACTGATGAATTCTGAAGAAGGGACAGTAATTGTGGTATGTGCAAAAATGGCATACCCACCCATGTTGAAATAAGATAATAGATATGGGTGTATTGTATAATCTGTCAAGTAGATATTCAATACAAATGGGGCTCCTCACGCTCTTTATGCTTTGTGGACTTCACACATGGACTTCTGAGGCAGAGAGTATGGCTTACCCAGTCCTTGTGTTCAACAATAACTAGAATAGGCCTCAGGTGCTTTTCCTCCTCCCAACTCTCCTTCAGTCACAGTGTTCCAATGTTTAGGCTGTGCTCTAATCGATATAGGATACAACTTACTACCCTTTGGAGAGATACTGAGGCTGAGATAAATAGGAAAGGAAGTTCCTGGAGGCATGGCTCAGGACCCAGTGATTCAGCCACTGTCTGCAGAGGCAAGACCCAGGAGTTTATGTGTGGCAAGAAGACACATTCCATTTGTTGGAAAAATCTGTATAATGGGGAGGGCATTGGTGCTTGAAACTGAGTCCACCAGTGATTGGAGAGAGCAAGTAATATAGCCTGGCATGGTGAGGGACACTAGCATGGTACTGTGTGTGGGCTTCAGCCCCACTGACCCCTCTGAGGTGAGCTTGGTTGAACAAAGTAGAGTTTGCCAGCTCAGAAGAATCAAAGGAGGTGCCTGAGACTTTGGCTTTGGGAAACAATAAGAGATGCTGGTCACACAACTGCATATACTTGTACTTTTTAAGGTGTTGGGGCTGCTTCTCCTCCTCCTCCCCGTCCTCATTCTTTTTCTGTTAGTTTTCAGCTTTGAAAATACTATAGGGACCTCAAGAGATGGGATTTCTTGTGTTCAAAGAGTTAAGAGTCCAACAGCAAAGACCAGAAGGTTATAACACATCCACAAAGTTCAAACTTGTGAAATATAAGGCAATACAGCAATACAGTTGAAGACAATGTTCAGAGGATGCTAATTCCATTTGGGGAAAGGGGAATCATAAGGACATCATCTTTGAGGAAGGGACAGTTAAGCAGAAAACAAAGACCACCTAGGGATGGCATTAGAGAGAAAGAAACAGAAGAAATAGTATTTATGAAGTCCAGGGCAAGCAGGACTTGCCTTAGAAAGAACTCCAGTCCTTGTGGCTTCATACAGCATGAGCATGTGAGTGTAGAGCTTAAGGCCAGGCAGTAGCTGGTCCCTAGGGTCTCCTAAGCTGTACCGAGGTGTTGGGAGATTTTCCTTAATGCAATGGGAAGCTGTTAGAGAGTTTAAGCCAGGGAGTGACAAGGACTGATTTATGTCTTGAAAAGATGGCCGTGGCTGCCATGGAGAGAATGGATTGTAGTGGGGGCAGGTGCAGGAGGCTGTTACAGGTGATGGATGGCAATGACTTGTTTGGAATGGTGGCAGTGGAAAGAGAGAGGAGTGGACGGTTTGAGATGTAATTTGGAGATGAAATCGACAGGGCTTGGCAAGAAGAGAGCAGAGCATTCAAGGAGAGCGATGAGGAGGAGAGAGGAGCCGGAAGAAGCAGTGGAGAACTGAATGCTGGGTGCTGACAGAAGGCTGACAAGCCATCGGCCATGCTGTCTAGGCTCCTGTTTAGCCACCGAAGCCCATCTTGATCCTGATCTCCTTTTTGTCTTATCACAGCAAAATGATGGACAGTTCACCGTGATCCAGCTTGTCGGGATGCTGAGGGGCATCGCTGCTGGCATGAAGTACCTATCTGAGATGAATTATGTGCACAGGGACCTGGCTGCTAGGAACATTCTGGTCAACAGCAACCTGGTGTGCAAAGTATCTGACTTTGGCCTCTCTCGCTACCTCCAGGATGACACCTCAGATCCCACCTACACCAGCTCCTTGGTGAGTCTTTAGTCCACTCAGAGAAAGTATGGTGTGAGTCAGTGATGGCCAAAGGTATCTCAGCACCCATGGCTGGGTTGTTTCACAGCTTAGGGAGACAGATGCTGAGCACCCCATTCATCCAATAGAAATATCAGCAGCCAGTGTCTGAGCACAGATTTGACCTGGCGTCTACCTGGAAGCCACAGCGCTCCTTAGTCAGTGGCAAGAGCAGTTTGGAGCAGATGGATTTAAGAGAATCCAGGTAAGGGAGAGTGGCGTCAGAAACATCTTTCAACAGGAAGCAGCTCTAGGCAAAGTTGGGGCTGTTGGTTCCCAGTTGAGCTGGGCATTGCGTCATCAGATTCTGGTTCAGTTTCCTATCTTGCATCCAGAGGACTTTAAGTACCAGCTCCATGCTGAGTGCTGAAATCTGATCTCCTCTCAGCCTCCCCCTGCACATCCTGAGTAGCTCTAATCTCTATCCCACTGCCTCCTTCACACAATTCCTCTTGGAACCATAATAGATCCAAAATAGAGTTTTGGCTTTACTCTCCAATGTATCCTTTGCATCTCTCCATCTCCATAGCTGTCTCTATTTTACTAGAGACTGAAATAGAAGAGTAGCCAATGGTTTCTTTCTATGCCTTAATAGTCCAACCTGCTCCTCGGTTACTCCTAGAAAACCTATCCCCACTCTTCCCTCCACTGCCCCCCCCCCACCTTGTAAGACTCCTCTCTCTTTGGCCTAGATTGCTACAGTGGGTGTCTAGCTAGTATCTTTGTTTTCTACTTATATTCACGGCCAGCAATAACTTTCCCTACCTCCCTGTCTATCTGCTTTATTTAAAAAATGAGATGCACAAATTAAAATGATGCAGCAAAGCAAGTACAAAAAAATAATTAGTGAATGATGATGACTCCTCCCCCGTGGTAGGAGTCCATAAACTTTTCCTTAAAGAGCCATCTGGCTAGTGTTTTAGGCTTTGATAGCCAAGAGGCAAAATGGAGAATTATGTAAAGAATTATGTACCTATTTGTTGTGTGACACTTTGAGAAGTGATAAATATCATTCTGAACTATAAACATGAGAGCAGCCGAATTTGATACACAGGCCAAAGTGTTCCAACCTCTTCCTGGAAGCAGCATTTCTAAGTTAGATGTGTCTGCTTCCACATTTTTTCATGACCACACTATACTTGCTTTTCTGAATTCTTGTTCATTCCATGGGATTTCTTTTACTTCCAGACTGACTTCCAAATCTTAATGAATATCCATTCTCTCCTGGGAGTGTGTCGATCACCTGACATCCTGAGTGGCACTGGAGGTTACCAATCTTTGAAATTATGCTAATTCGATAGCAAAATATGGCCACCTCATTTTGTTTTAATTTGCATTTTTATTCAATTGCCAGAACTCATCTTTCTCTCTTCTGTGTGTCTTTACCTAATTTTTTTCACTGGGTTGCTTGCTAGTGTTTAGATTGGGAATGTTACCCATTGATGGTATATGACACAGTTAGATGTCCACCTATTGTTTTCTTAATTGCATGTGGTATGTCTGGTTTACAAAGTCACTGGGATTCGGGTAGTCAAAAATGTCTATTGTTTCTTCTATATCTTCTTAGGATTATTGTTTGCTTTTAAAGTTCTTCTCATACAACATTCTGAAATGTTTCTCAAAGTTTTCAATACAATTGTATTGTGTTGGTGTTTGTGCTATGTGTAAATATTTAGCACACCTGAAATCATTTTACCACATTTATTTCAGAAAAATGTCCAACATACGTAGAACTTTAAACAATTGCACTAAGAATCTACTCCTTGTAGATCTAAGAAGGAGTATCTTGCTTTGTGTGCTTCATCATCTAACTCTGGCCTGTACCTCCGTCTGCATGTAATTTTTGTTTACACTTATGTTTTGTTTCTGTACACAATTGTGTGCACATTTTAAGTACAAAGTTGGGATTTCAAAAATGTATAGAGATGCATCACACAAACTTCTAGCAAGATAAAGAATCTAGTCATTACCCAGGAGGCTCCTCCATGTGTCATTAACCTCTATTCAACCACCACCTGCCAAACACACTCAGATACAACCACTGCTCTGAGTTTTTCAAGTGCTCTTACGAATGTATGCATGTATGTATATATCAGAACTTCACAGACAATCTAGATCTTCGTAGAAATGGAACCATATAGGACATGCTCCTTGTTGTCTGGTTATTTTCCCTTTGTATCATGTTGGAGAGAGTTGCTCTTCTTGGTATGTGCAGTAGGAGTTTATTCCTATTGAATTTATAGTTTATTTTCTTATTATCTTGTTGACAGACACCAAGAATATTCTGGAATGTATTTTTAAGTATGATTTGGCAAGTCACTTCTTACTTAACTTTGTCAAGGTGAACTATGCCACCTCATTCAATATATACTTTATTTCCAAAAAATTATGTTCTTTCTGTCAACTGTTGATTCTGTTGATCTGTTTATCCATTGTCTTTTCCTGTTGGTGTGGTCATAATGACTTGAGGAAATATCGTATATTAAAATTTTAATGAAAGTCTTACTTTGGAAGAAGCAAATTCTTCCATTCCTCTCTTAAAAGCATTGTTGACTAGTTTTAAATTTCTTTTCTTTTAAATGAAATTCAAAATCCCTTTGTCTAGGTCCAAACCCACACACATACATTTGTACTCACAGCTGGTCTTTGAATGGAGCTCAGTCTGTCTTTGGAAGAACCGACATTTTAATGCTCCTGGGTCACTTAAGTAGTGATGGAGTCAAATACAAAACTTACATCTACCTTACAGTAAAAGTTTCCTAGTGAAAACTTCCACACAATTTTGCTATATACATTGCTTAGATTGTCTGCAGGGATTTTTTAATAAATGTTTCCTCTATATGACAAGGTCTGTTGACTCTGGACCTCAGAGTCTTCAGGAGCATTGTTCGTATGTCCACTTGACTCATCATTTCTCCCATGCCATTCCTTCTGTTTGCCTTTCCCTAGAAATAGAAAACAATGAACATACTTGCTGATTAAATCGATTATTCTTTGAAAATACAATTATTCAAATGATAAACATTTATTGAACATCTTATATTTATCAGTACTATGTCACATAAGCATATGATCAGGATCAAAGGAGAGTCTGCTGCTTCACGATGCATAGAGTTTAGAGATGACATGGGCATTCATCAGACACACACTCAATGACAGCACAGCTATCTGCTGCTAGAGCATGAAGAAAACAGTACACAACACAATGTCCTGACGTTGTCTAGGGGGATTAAGGAGGACTTCCAGAAGAGGAGATGATGGTGTTCCAACGGATCTGAAAAATAAGTCAGCTTTGGTCAACTTGGCTGCTGAAATGAAATGCCCCTAGCTGGACAACTTAAACAGCAAACATTCATTCCTCCTGGTTCTGGAAGCTAGAGTGTCTGAAGCCACGATAACAGTCTGAACAGGCTCTTGGTAGTGTTTGCATTAAAGAGACAGAGAGTGCTCATACCGATCCTCAAAACTGAGCATCAAAATGCCCTTAAAAACATAAGGGTATTAATCCATCATGAGGTTGCATCTTCGTGATCTAATTTTAACCACATTTATCTCCTAAAAGCCTGCCTCCAAATATCATGCCACTAGGGATCAGGACTTCAACATCTTACTTTGGAAGCACACAAATATAGTATTGCATTCTTTTCCCCAAAGGAACATGCCAGGTTAGGCCACACAGGCAGAGAAGCAGTGCTTCCAAAGGTCCTGTGGCAAGAAGGACAAATAAGTATGTAAAAGTAGAGGCCACCATTCCTGGTACCTGGAGAATGAGAAAATGCCTAAGAGGCCAACAGCAGTACACTCTCTCAGACACTTTTGATAGAATTAATAGTCTTGGGATGGTGGAAAACCATTGGGGGTGTGTGTGTGTGTGTGTGTGTGTGTGTGTGTGTGTGTGTGTGTGTGCACGCGCACGCGCGTGCCTTTGGGAAAAATAACTTGGCTTTCCTCCCCCATTTCCCTTTCCTTTGAGTTTCTTCCATTCCTCTATTTTCATATATTTTTTTAAAATCCAGCATTCCTTGGTTTTCTCTTTCCTTTCTTTCACTAAAACACTCCTTGCCAGGGCCAACAAATGTAGCTATCATAAGCTAGTGGTGACTAACACCCACGTGTGGGGGCACCACCACCACCACAGTGCGTGATTGAAAGTATACTGGGTATAAGAACTCCTCGGAGCGTGGTGCACACATGGGAAAGCATGAAAGCAGGAATGGAGTTTGCAGTGTGAAGCTTGAGCAGATGTATTTGCGTGAACCATGAGACAGGCAAATGAACAGGGTTGGAGGTGCCAGGAAGCAGTGACATGCATGCAGCAGGAGTACACCTGGCTCTCAGAACTTGATTATTTTTATCTACCCCACTTCAAGCAACTGGGAGTCATTAGAGACATGGCACCTTCCAGAGCCCCAGCAGGGAAAGTGAGATGAGTCAGCACACAGTGTCACAGTGTGTGTGTGTGTGTGTGTGTGTGTGTGTGTGTGTGTAAAAGTGAGAAAACATTCAAATAATAATGAAGATATGCCCTCAAATCCAAAATCTCTAGCTTAAAGCATATTCTAACGTTTAAACTGTGATAATTTGAATCTTAAAATATAAAGCACAAGATAACTGGTCTAATAAGATAAATAGTATAAGGGTATACCAATAGGACAAGAGAGTGCTGCCTTATACTATAAATAACATTATTAGAATATTATTAGAAAGCTACTAGATGGCAACTATCAATCAATGGTTATTTCTGATGAGAAAATGTAAGTGGATACTAAAACCCAAGGAGAATCTGGGGAGAGGAGCAGATGTTTTACATAGCTTCCAGTTGTCTTTTTCCTAATGCTGATTTAGGGGCCTGGGGGGAGATTCTGTGCAGGCAGAAGGACCCAGGTTTGCTCACCAGCACTCATGTAAAAGCAGGATGTGGCTGCATGCACTCTCACCCCAGCGCTGGGAAGGAAGGAACA